TATGTAACAGAGAGAAAAGAAAAATGAGGCGAGGAGAAGAGAGGACAGTTCTTCCTTTTACTTAGAAAGCAGTTGACAGATTTTTTTTTTTTACTTTAATTACCTTACCCTTAATTCTGGCTGAAGTGGGTCACTCTCTCAGGACACCAAGTCCCCAACCAGAAGTAATAGGTTGTTATCATTTCAGATGAATCAAAAACGCAGAGGACTGTGTTTCACAGGTCTGACGCAATAAGCAATGAATCGCTTGATAAATTAAAATTAGCTCAATAATTTTCTTTTCAATAATTGTGTTTACCGTTTCAGGATATTTTAAAATTTCTTCAGGGCAAAATGAAAGTTTATTAGTCTCTGAGGGGTCAAACTTGCATTATTATACCACGATCATTGAAAGTGGTATCAAAACAATTATTATCATTTATTGCGATAATTTCTGGGACGATGTTATTGTAACAGACATATCAGTAGAATATCAGCAAAGTCGCATGTTACTGATAAAGCCGTGTTTCAGAGATGCTTCTTGGCTAACAATGACTCTTCTCCAGCCCAGGTTTCGTCTCCATGGCAACCAAATGCTGACCAATGAGCTGGCAGTCTTTTACCGCGTAACTCACATTTTCACCACATAATCTGAAGATACAATGCAGTAGAAGTCAGCTGTTATAAAAAAATGCTGTATATCAAACATTGCTGAAAATAAATTTGACTTTAACGAAATTTGACCCAATTTAACGCCTTGAAATTGGGCTTCTGTCTCTTTAAGAAGCTCCTGCCGTCACTCTGGTTTCAGCACGTCATCACAATAATCTTTTGTATTAAGCCTTTAGCAACATTTTTACCAGCGTTTCACTGAGAAATAGTTAATATAATGAACTAGGTGCCGCCAGGAGTTGCTAGTTGCTGGTGGCTAGTCTGAAGGAGCTGAGTGGGTGAGTAGCAGCTGCTCTGTGAGGCTGAAGCTTTGAGGAAGAGCTGTGCCTTGAAGGCGGGGCTAGGTCCACCCAGGCGTTTTGGACAGCTGAATGGTTGCCATGGAGATTAAAAGATTTCTCAAACATGCATGAAAGAATGAAAGCTACAGTACAGGTATGATGAGAGAATAACATTATGACATGACGTAGCTCATATTAATTCAAATCTTTAAAGAGTTATTTAATATGTATTAAAACAACATTTCATTTCCATCTGGGATCAATAAAGTATTTTTGAATTTAAAAGCTTAAAAAAGCCCATTTTACATAACACCACTCCTTTAAAGCTGGTAGATTACATCCCAAAGGTTTTTGAAATGGCTCATTTTCCAGACACCAAAAAAAACATTAAACCTACTGAATGTTTGTTTAGGGCTGTTTTTAGAAGCAGTAGAGACACAAAGGAAGCACAAAAACATGAAAAATTTGAATTTTGCTTAATAGGCCCCCTTTAACACACCACACCCAGCAGGAATATCTCCTAAAATTATCTTAAGAGCCGTCATGATAATCGGGGCATCATTAAGATGGTCAGAAGGGGAAAATAGGGTAAAAAATTGGAATAAAAATCTTAAAGGATTCCTGATTCAACAATTAGAAAGGTAAAGATGGCTCCATGTTAGCGCATTTATAAAATCAAAACCGTAAAACGAGCTGCTGGAAACCAAAGCATCTAGCAGCAGCTGATTGTCAGGAATCTCCCCACATCTTAGACGTGACAGTGAGGAGGAGCTGCAGCTGTAACAGGAGGCTGTCGGCTCTGAACTAACGTTTCACAGTGAAGGTCTCCACCGTCTCTTTCATGCATGTCCCACTCAGCGCTGCAGAACATGCTCACACAGCAATTTCCCCCTCCTCCTTTAATGCTCTGTGCAGTCAGGTAGATGATTGTGCTGCTGATTGATACCGGTTTCCAATGATGTGAGCGACTAAATAATCCAACTCTGGCAGGAAGGGAACAATTTCCGAGCTGTGACTTGAGAATGTAAAAAAAAGAAACGGAGTGTGATGGAATTACAGCCGTTATAAAACGAGCCGGCGAATGCGGGGGTGACCTCCGCTGACTGATGTTCGACGCGCCGCCACATGAGCAGCAAAGCGGCGTTACACAACAACAATCTTTACACCTGTCTGGGAAATGAGCCCCGCTCGCCTTCGGATGTGCCCTGCGGTATTACGTGATGAATATTTCAGATTGGACATGAGACTGTTTAAAGTTCAGCCGCTGAGCGTAGGTGTGCGGTTACATAAGAGCGGGAATAATCGGAGCTTTCTGGACGCGGTCGGCGTTGCCAGGTTGGGCAGGTTTCTGCCCAAATGGGCTGATTTTGAAAATGTTTGGCTGGATGAAGAAAAACAACAAGTTGTTAAAATTTGGGCTGCTTTTCACAACATTTGGCAGGTTTTTAGAAGAACAAAATTCTTTAGAAATAGTTGTGATTGTGTGGCAGAAAACACAACAAAACTTTTAATAAAATCCTGTTATACCATTGATGTTGGTTGCTGTGGTAAAACTTAATTTCTGAAATTATTGTTGTAGAAAGACCTGAGAAATTGTCTCAATGTGAAATTTTATGCTTTTAAAAAAAGATGGGGGGGTATTCTTGATTTTCTCAGAATTAAAAGGTCAGTAATGTGAAACAGAATGATGTAGAGCTTTAAGTTTATATATACATGGGTTACTATTTTCATGTTCTCTACATGCCTCCTGTTTCTGTTTTAGATATTCAAAATATCTAATAAACATGATATTACTGCAAACTCAACTTTCATTGTGTTTAAAGAGTCAAGATCGTAACAGTCTCAATGGGATTTGGTTCCAATGGGTTTATAATAAAAAACGACCAAAAATGTTTTTAATTTTCACAAATCTGAGTGCAGTCGATGACATATGGGACACAATATCATATATACATATTTACATGTCATACATTTCATTAGAGGTTGAGTTTTGGGTTAGTTTGTTTTTTTAGTTTTTGGGTTTTTATTTTGTTTTGAGCTGGAAACTGTCAGTCAAATCTGGCAACCCTGGATCACCAGGGCCGGCCCAAGGCATATGACAGTTAAGGGGCTGCTTAGGGCCCCCCTCACCACCAGGGGGCCCCAACAGCAAAGAGCTAGTGTGGTATAAAAATGCATAAAATTTGAAAAAGATTGAATAAAACAAACCAAATGCTACTATACATAGAAAAACTATTTTAATATTATTTTCATAGTTGGTACATATTTAATAGATTGATCTCTTCCTGCTGTTGGGGAAATATAAGACGTTAAACTTGTTAATTTGTTTACTGTAAATTTAGTGTTTATCAGCTGATGTTACTTTCACATAGTTAAAATAATGAAGCACACTTAAAATTAAAATATTTTGTTTGGTTTGCTGCTCCTCTCAGGTTAAAATCAACAGCTATACTAGCATCAGTATGATATAAGCTAATTACAAATGATGCTAATGACAGTAGTTTTGTTAGAGTAGTTTAAGAATGATGAAGCATCTGACATGTTGATAATGGGGGGGCCCAAATGAAGATCTGCTTAGGGCCCCAAAAAGGCTCGAGCCGGCCCTGCTGATCACATCCTCATCTCTGCTGCTCTTCCTCTAAACCTGGTGAGACGTTTTCTCCTCTCACCAGCTTGACAGCTGACTGCTGTGCTTGTTCTACTCGTCAAAACCCAAACGAAGACGCTGCAGGAGCCCGGCCCAGCTTCAGGACAAATGCTTGGGTTCTGAGTTTGGAAACACTTCAGCTGCTGCCACATTCTGACATTTCAATATGAAATGTACGAGCTTCAAACTGTGATTTCTCTTTTTCCCCCGCCCACCTCTCGCTCTAGGTTGTAAATGTGAAATTGTGCCGACTAGATGTTTTCCACCTAAACTGTTGTTTTGACAGAAAAAACCTGCTGTGTTGCCACACCAGGGAAATTGTATAATATATTATTGATCTGTGAGGGAGCGCTGAAGGGATTCCTGTGGTCTGGGATCCGGTGGATTTAGTCAGTAATCACAGAGAAGGCGACCCACAGTGGGCCGGTGACATGTTTCTATGGAAACTGAAATTGAAAATAACAGGAAAAACTTTGAGATTTTATCCCAGTTAGTATCACTGTTGGATATTTTTTAAATGCTGGTAATTATTTAGCATAGTGGGTGAAGTTCTGATCTTTGAGAGAAGTTAGTTACACTACAAAAAAAACCACACACAAATTAAACTACATTTAAAGCTATATGTCTTTCAACATCGAGCTGAAAAAAAGAATAAATCTTATGAATTACACTTAACAACAAACCTCTGATAACAATCTTCTCTCTTGAAGCAAACAAATCTGGCCTAGTCCTGTCTTAAAGTTTTTTTTATTTTTACTTCTAGGTTAATTTTCACACCAGATTAATGACGCACTACAAAAACACAAAATATTACCAATTAAATTTGTCTAACTTCTATCTTAGTATACTTGAAATTAGGCAAGACCAAATTAAAAACAACTTTACAGCATTATATATTCTTATTTGTAGTAAATAATTCTTAAATATACATACAAAAAAGTAGTTGTCTTTATCTTTTAGCTCAGCTTTAGCTGTTTAACATTTACAATTATAAGTATATAATAAAAACTTACATGGTAGTTCAATTTTTACTTAAATGAAGAACTTTTAAATCAATTTTAAGGAATTATTGTCTTAAAACAAACCTCCATATCTTGCTGAAAGTTACTTGTAAGTTAGTTTTGTTTTATTTCAAGTGTACTGAGATATTTGCTTTAGAAAGACCAAAACACTTGGTAAGATTTTGTGTTTTGCGGTGTTTGAACTCATTTTTGGTTCAGTAACACATCATATCAGTGTTATTACAACTACTGATTTTAACCTTATAAGAGCAGCAACCAAGCAAAGATGCTCTAATTAATTTGCATTTTGCAGACAAACACTGAATTGACAGTAAAAGTTATCAAGTTTAATATCTTTTGAGGCAGTGTAAAATGTGAAATCTATCACCACAAAATAAAATAAAACGTTCTGTGACTCACAAAAGGAGCTGCTTTCGTCCTTTGTGCCTTCCATGGTGCCATCCGGCAGCATCTGGAGGTAGAATCCGTGTCTGCAGTAGAGCCGTGTGACGATGCCCTTCAGCTGGGGCTCTGCAGAGCAAACACAGTGTTAACAGCACATGCTAGCCTCCAGGAACACACATTCACACACACTTGTCAGGTGGCATTTATCAGAGCAAATGGCCACCTCAGAGCCTAGACACTGACTAAACAAGAAGCAATTCTTACAATTTACCCGGTTAAACGTTTAGACGGAAAGGGATCTATGTGTGTTAAGCTTTCTTCTTTAGCTTAGCTTGTTTATTTCAAGCCACACATTTGGGACGAGAAAGCACAAAGTAAATGTGTTGCCAGATGGAAAACTAAAGGAAGAGACATACTTTTAGCAAGACTTTCATTCATCATAATTAAAACTAAAACTAGCTTTGGCCTGCATGAGGTGTAGCAAATAGTTTTCGTCAACCTAGCTTAAAATAGCAGATAAATTATTCTAGCCAAACATGTTTTGAAAGTTGACTATTTTACCCAAAAAGCGCTTTTCACTTGATAAATGTTGTATTAAAAGGTTGCAGTAAAAGGTTAATATCCAATTTATAGTTTGTTTATTACTTGCTAACTGAAATGCTAGCAGTTAGCACCTGGCTTGTTTGAGCTAGCATGAGTTTTTCTTCAGGCTCAGAAGTGCTGAGGAGAGCAGATGGAGGATCAGACGAAACGTCAGGGTGGTGAAGAGTGTCCACAATCAACATTTAATGAATCTCATCAAATATGAAGGAGGATGGAGGAGTGTGGGGCAGCTGACAGTTTGCCCTCAGTTGACAGGAAGCATATTTTAGTGCATGAAGACTAAAGAAAGATAAATCTGCTCATTTAAACTTTTCAAGTCGTACAAGCAAACAAAGTCTCTGTGGTTTGGTCAAATGTCTTCTGTGTCTCCACACTAAAATTGCAATTTCACTTCTTTTTTTGTTACTCTTAATCATATGCAAATGGGATCAAAGATGGAGATTAGCCATTTGGCTAAAATCTGATGTGTTTGCATGTAAATGTTTGTTAATAGGTAATGTTGTGTGTTTATAAAATACACTTGAAACAATCAGATTGGCCAAAAACATCTTGAAGATGGCTAAAATCACAGAGAACTGGTGAAATTCAGGTTGACTTTATTTTACATTCATAACCATCATGTTATGGACTTACTGAAGATTTCCTCTTTTTAATCCCCACTTCATACTAAACCTGGCTGCATCAATCCTTATCCAAGATGAGAGCCATCATCCATCCATCCATCATCCATCCATCGCCGGCTGACTAGACACAGAAGGTCAGTGTGGTAATCTGTTACGTATTAATCTCAAATTAAGCTGCGTGCCACACAGCGAGCCATGTGCATCTGCTGGCCACGGAGGATCTGAGCAGCAAACACGCAGCGCTGACCTTTAGCGAGTCTCTGCAGCTGCAGTTCAAACAGAGGAAATACTTCCTGCACACAGCGAGCGCGGCATCAGCAGCAACACAAGCAGCCTGCAGATCCAACGTGTGAGACGCATTTTACTGGCAAAACTATTCACACCTCCTAAGACGTATGAACAAGATAGATTATCCAAAAATTATACTCAAGTAAGAGCAGCACGACTTCCAACATTGTTTTACTCAAATAAGAGCAAAAAGTATTTGGTAAAAAATCTACTCAGGTACTGAGTACTAATATTAATATTTCATATTTTGATACTAAATATTAAATATCAGTGTTTAATATTTAAAATATTACGTAATCAGGTGGACCACAATATAAAGTTAAGTGGAAATTTTGTATTTTAAGGATCAAAATGACAAAAATTCATGTAAGTAACAAAAAATAACAAAATCAGTAAAAATTTAATTTTCCCAAATCAGTTTCTGTCATTATAAAACTTAACAAAACCTGCAGGTGAGCCTCTGTGTCTGGTGAATTTTCCTGGTGAATATCTTCTCCAGTAAGAGAAGATACACTTCATAATGAAATTATTCTAGTAAAAGTAAAAAGTAGCCATCCAGGAAATTAAAAGAATATTTGGTAAACGGCCGGCTCAAGAACTGAATAACCGATCAAATTATCAATCATTTCATATTTAAAAATCACATAATCAGACGGATCAACATACAAAGTTAATTGGAAATTTCGGTATTTTAAGGATTAAATGAAAGTTATTAAAATATAACATTGTCATAAAATAACAAAATAAGACAAAACAAACATTTTTCCAAATCAGTTTCAATATGAAATTGATGAAACTTTAAAAACATCTCCAGGTTTGCGTCTGGTGAAGTTCTCATTCAGTGAAGTTACTCACACTGGGTTGAGTAACTTCAACCCAGTGTTTTAGTCACTGGCTTGGCATTTTGGTCAAGTCAGAGTAGAAATACTTCATAGTAAAGTTACTCAAGTAGAAGTAAAAGGTGCAGGAACTGAATGAACACGTGATGGAGACGTGTTAGAGAGCGGCGTGTCCTCTATTTGAACGGCAGTTCAGCTGAGAGCTTAATAAAGAAACGGGGATTAATTTCCCACATTAAGAATCTCAACCATTAAAGTCTCTCTGAACCCTGAAGCCTCATAATGTCAAATGACAACTGGGCTGCAGATCGCCTTATTTTTACCTCACTGTTTATTACCAGCGTGGGCAACAGAGACGAGCGCAAACATGATCAGACCTGCGCTGAACACAGCAGGCTAAGAGCCGCAGCAACATTTATTATAAATCGTAAAGTTTGTTCAAAGAAAAAAACATTATACCGAAAAAAATAGATCTGAAACTGACAAAATGTTATGAAGCCGAAAGAAAGTTTGAAACTGAAAAAAAATAATTTAAATTGAAAATAAATATTTGAAACTGAAATTAAAGATTTGAAACTAAAGAATTTTAAAACTGAAAAACATTTTATGACAAAACTGAAAATAATTATTTGAAACTGAAAAAATTATTTGAAACTGAAAAAAATCTCTGAATTTGAAAATTGTTTTTAATTTCTTTTTCACATTTCACTTTTTTTTTAATTAAATTTTATTTTAAGTTTCATGTTTTTCCTTTTTAACAAACTTTATGGCTCCAATTTAGCTCCATATATTTTTATGAACATGAAATAAACAATTTTCAAAATATCTATTTTGTCTTTGATTTGTAGGCTGGTTTAAAAGTCTTGATCAATATTTCTTTCATGTTTTTATAGATCTTAAATAAGTAAATAATACTTGTATTTAAACCAAAAAAGCAGGAAAAAAAAGTATTTAAAATAAAAAATCGAGACATTTTATTACCAAGCTTGAGTGAAATATTAATGCAGAAACTTTTGCATGAGAGCAAACGGTGAGAATACATTCAGGCTGGTATACACATTTGAATTATTTTCTAATCTTCAGGCTGTTATTTAGCGATAACACATTGTCAGGTTTTGCATTTTACATACATTTTAATAGAATTGGCATTTATCAATCCCTCCTTGAATTAAACCCCAGTTTCTGCATAATGTAACTTTTATCAACCTCCTCTCGGCCTCTTCCTCTTCTGTAATTTTCACCCACCTCATCCCTAAAACTGCAGAGCTAATCTGCAGGGAAACCCCTTACTGCTGCTGTTTCTGAAGCGGCAGCACTTAGCAGCTGAATGACAGACTGTCACTCAGAGGGAGGAGGACGGGGCAGACCGAGCCGCAGATGAAGCTGAAAGCTGAGCATTTAAAAAGTCTTTTAAACAGGTTTTTGGTTCACCTCAGCAGGTGTGCTAATTCTTCTCTTTCCGCCCCGGTCGGACCGCTTGAAGCCGACGGATTGTTATTCGTCCATCTGTTTATCGGGTCGTTTTCTGAAGCGCTTCCCGTTCTGTCGGCGTTGGCGTCCCCCGGGGAGCCCAGATGTGCATCAGCACTGATGAATTATGGTCACAGTAGTTCATTAGGGTTGGGTGGAGATTCTTACAGAAGCTCTTCCCAACATTCACAGTTACACTCGGGTGAAAACATCATTTTTCCTCACCGGCTGTGATTCCATCAAACATAAAATTGCACATATTGGACGAACATAAGACAGAATAATAGAGTTGGGGCCCTCAATAAGTCAGGGTTATATTTAGTTTGTAATTATGGTCACATTTAAACGTAAAATAACTTCAAAGAAATATCACCCATAAAGGACAATTAGTTAGCATATTAACTAAATATTACAGGCTACAAAATTAAAGCACTTATTGTATTATCTTATCCTAAATCCGACCATTTTCATTAATGTCTGCCACCTGGCGAAGTAATTTAATTTGCTGGTTGAGATTAAAATATTAATAAATAGCTGTGTCTGCACCTGTGTCTTAAAATGAAATAATATTGGACGTGTTTTGAACCTGATCAGTCCCTCCAGGAGTTAGCGAATCTTTTGCTGTTGTTTTTTTCTTGCAATGAAAATCACTGATTTGTGAGATAATTTAGAAATATCTGCACAATATTTTGTAATATTTGCGGATATGCTTGATGGTATATGTGACTTCTGATTATTACTTGACATCTTGTAAAGCTGAGGAAGCAATGTAGCAGAAATAAGAAATACTGCCACCTGCAGGTGGCGGTTAGCATCACATAAACACAATGTTGTTTTTTTTAACCATTTTGGTGGAAAGTTTGCGGTAAACCCATAATTTAAGCCTTATCGTGTGATACACAAATGAACCTGACTTCACTATGAAAAAATAATCCCAGAGATGAACATGTTTTGATGTGAAATGGGAGCATCAACCCCAGAGTGGAAGAAAAACACCTTGTTCACTCTGTAGCTAGCTCTCTGTATTGTTCGCTTTTCCCAAAACACACAAATAACTGAGCTTTTCAAACAGCTGACGGCTGGATAAACAACAGTTATTGGATGTATTGGGTTCATTTAGGCCGTTATAAAGCATAACTCCGCTCACAGCGGCGTGAACAATGTTTAAAGTTTGACCAAAACAAACTCTGTCAACAACCCGAACAAGATCAACATGAGGCGCCAACACCACCGCCGAGGTTTTTCTATCCAATCTCTAAGCTGCCAAGCTGAATTGAATAGTTAACACTGCACCTGAGACAAC